TAATATGCTGCTGGTAATAATATAATAACAGTAACTCATACACATGAGTATATCTATTATTCAGAAGTCCAACATATGCAAATTGACGTTTATATAAACTGAATAAACTTTGTTTTGGAATAACTTTGTTTTCATCACATTAATTTATTAAAAATTCGTTTTTATTTTGGGTTGAGTGAAATTATTCATTAGAATAAAAGCTTTTACAAAGTCTGAGCCTTTCCATTCATGAATCAAATTTCTAAACCTTTTTTGGCAGCCCCGCTCACTCTGCTGTTCGAGCCAACAAATCTTCTTTTATCAAGCTAACAAATCTCTTATTGTGCACAAGTTTTTCACTTTTCCACATTCATCTAGAGAAGGCGAATGGACCCAAAAATGTGCTCTGCGGCTGGAAATTGACTTTCGCTTGGCTCCCTGATTGTTTGCTTTGTTCAATGAAATTATTTGAAGGGCATTATAATTATGGCCTGTCAACTACATTATGCCATAATGTAATCCAGCTAATATGCAGCCAGCAATATTTGATGACTTTAATTATGTTGAATTGGATTCCCAAGTATTTGCGAGCTGAACTATTTGAATTTGGTTGTCAATCAGCTGCAAGAAGCCACAGCTGAGGCACTTGATTAAAATATAATTTACAACCAGCACTTAGCGTTCGCTTTTCAAGTACAAATGCATACATACATATATGTGTGTGCGAGGCACTGAAGTATGCGAAATTGCCGGAGTCAATCAAGCTGATTGATTGCCTTTGCATTTGAAATGGCAGCGTGTGTGAGTGTTGCGAATGTCTGAGCCCAGGGCGCCTACATCAATTATGCAGGGCGGTGGCAGCTGCTGGCTGTGTAACAATAAAATAAGAGCGGCGTCTGTTAATTGCGCCGCCGCACAACATGGCGTATACGTAATGCGCAATATTTGTTAAACTTCTAATTGAGCGTCAGCAGCAACAACATGCCTGCCAAAAAGTTCAAATCAACAACAGCAACAACAACAACAACAGTGACAACAAGAGAGCCCTCACGTTTCAAAGTTTGGCCGGAGCTCTGTCAAAATTGGGCTTTTGTTAATTACGGATCACTTGAGTAAGAGAAATATTTGTCAGAACTTTGAGAGTGATTTTTAAATTGGCTTTCGCTTTTGCTTTGGTTCTGGCTTGGCTTCGAATAGTTGTTGCATGTCAAATTTCGCAGACAGCCGTTGGTTAGAATCCAATTATACTGATTGGATTTATTTTGTTATGAATTTCTTATGATAAATTCCAAATTTTTTAGTTGACAGTTGTTGACATGCCAAGCTAAGCACAGATTATTTTGTTGAACTTTTGTGATATTTCACATGTTTTAAGCATCAGAATTTTAGATAAGCTAAGGCAGTGCAGATGTTTGGTGTCTTTATTGTATATATATATATGTACATACATAATACAAAACTTTTTTGAATAGTTTTTAAAAATCAAATCAGTTTATTTAATATAGATCATATAGTATACATATGCCTATAGAAAAATATCATTATGCATAAATTATAACTTTGTCAAACTTATAGCAAATAAAATAAAAATAAATAACACACAAAAAATATACGAAAAATATAATATAATATATAAAAATAAAAAAATTATTACTTAATAAATAACAAGAAAAAAATTAGATTAATTTATATGTATATGTGTATATGTAGAATCAAAAATTTTTTAAATGAAAAACTTCTAAAGCTCTCCATATAATAAATAAATAAATATTCATTTGATAAAAGTTTCTATATATATTTGTATTATTTAAATATTCGACTCTAAATGAAATTTTCAAAACAATAATTTTCGGGCTTTTATAATTCTTAAAGAATTTTTGAATGAGAACTGCTAGTAAATGGGATAAAAGTTAGAAATACATGCAATAGCCGTACCTTTGAAGCATGAACATATCAGACATGTCTAGCTCTATTTGAGAGCATTCACAGCTGGTGGCAAGCATCAGATATACCATAGCAAAACTATTTTGTTTATATGCTCACACTCTTTATACAGCATATTTTCCTTAAGCTGAGAATAAAGGAAGAAATTGTAAACATACACTCGCACAATAAGCACCTGCAGTCCCACGTGCAATCACACATGCAGTCACACACGACTGCAGACAAATAGATGATACAACATTCATTCAGCAAACACAACCTTCAGCTGGGTCTTAGGTGGCATTGTGCGGAGTCTCCCATTTGAACGGCTGGCAATCGGAGACCGCAAAGAACTTGTTAACAGAGCACTTAGCACAACAACGACAGCAACAACGACAACGACAACAACAACAACACATATATAAGTTGGACGTTTGAAGCTGGATGCAGTAAGCACGTGCCTGCTTATCTCTTATAAATTTGTAGCCTCAGTTTACAGCACTTTGAACATTTTGTATTCCAATGATCTATTTAAGTAGTTTTAAATTTTTAAAATTTAAAATTTTAATTGCATGAAAAATAGTTCCATTGAGAACGCGTTATTTAAGAAATATTTTATTAAGAATAGCCTCAGACACATTATTATGTAGGAATTTGTTATTTTAAAATACAGTTTCAATAAATGGCGCGCACAAAAAGCCTGAAAAAATACTCATGTTTTTATTCGTATATTCCATTTAATACGTGCAGCAGACATTAAAAGTGCTGCAAATGTCGATAATTTTCTTTCATTTTAATAGTTTTTATGCACCCATGTCGACAGGTAGCTGACATCAAAATCATTTTAATTGAACATTCATTTCTGTTTTTTCCAAAAATCAGTTGTATTCATTGATAATAGCTGACATGTTGCATGGATTATATTGGTATTTATTGCACAAAATGTGATATGTGTAAATGGCATTTTGATATACATATTTAAAAAAGCCATCAATAAATAAAGCTGGATGCAGATGTATTCATATTCGAATATGTTATTTTTTTATAATAAATGTAAAATGCATTTATGTGATAATGAAAATATATAACATTGTTCGACACATTTGATTCCTTTTTACTATATTTATATATATTTTGTTATTGGACTTTTCGTGTATATATTTTAAAGACAGATATTTATTTTGCTCCTAGGAAAATGTTCGAATTATCCATGCGTAAGCACTTAACTTTTCATTTCTGGCCACATGCTGGAACTCTTTTGAGTCCTCAACCCGTTCCTAATAGCTCTCACACCTACGGAGCAGGAGCATCAGCTACTTTGCCATATAACCGATAAAAGAGAATAATAAATTGCGGCAAATGCCGTTTGTTGGCGCAAAGACTTCCGGTAATATATCCTGAGCCCAGGTTAGAAAATATATGATTAATTTTCAAAATATATATTAGTATGTGCTTATACATATTTTTATTATGGTACAGAAACGACAACAAGTGAAACATAATTTAATTGAGTAAGCCAGACTAGCAAACACCCTGTAGGCAGACAGTTTCAACAAGAGAAAACTTAGAATTCAACTATTTTCTTGTTAAATTATTTATTATAATATTCTAATAATTATATATTAATGCAGCTATTTATATTACGAATTAAATATTTTTTTTTTTTTCAAATTTTAAAGTTATTTATATAGCAGATATTTATTCAAATCTCATTTATATATTGATTACTGTAGACGTTGTCAGCCTCTTCACAATATGATTTTCAATTTTACAGGGTATCAGAATTCTGCAGGCAAACGTGAGTGGCATTTGGCGAGAGCCCAGCAAATAAATGCGCTAATTTTGCGCATCAAATGCTGCGCATTCGTGTATAAAGTAATATAAATTTAAATATTTCGGCTCGATATGCTGGCTTGAGCATAGGTTTTATAGAGGTTAGATCTGTCTGGCTGGCTTATATGTATGCTTCAGCAGAAATAAGTAGCTGTCTATGGGGCCCTGGGCTGCTTATGCTAATTTGGCATGCAGAGCGCGTCAAATGCAAACATTTTGCTTTGTTTCTGACAACTAATATCGATGGTATTTGCATTTGGTTTCGTACTGGTATCAGTGTAGGACTAAGGGTCCTTTTCGCAGCTGCTCCGTCTGTAATTGGGTGTATAAAGGGATAAGATGGCGTTAGGGGATGCTCTTCCATCTCAGCAAAGAAAAAGACAGAGAAAAACAGCCAACAATATTTGCGTGAGGCCAGACAATGACAAACAGGAAATGAGCTCCGTTATGCCTTGTTTGACGAGACAGTCTATAGACTGCCTCTGAGGTGTACAGCTTTATTTACTGCTGCCTTTCATCTCTGTACACTTCGTGGTAACGAGCACAAGTTGAGCACACGTTGAGTATATGGTGAGAGTCTCGCAACTGGCCCTTGAATCATTCAATTCGAGCAATATGTACAACTGTTGGCCTCATAAAAGCAAGTCGAAGATTTAATTGCGGCCAGAAGCTGCTAATAAAATATATATGTGACGCCAGTGTCAAAAGTTAGCAAATTAAATTTTTACAACTGAGACGATAACTTGAGCTGGGAAGGTGAATAACAAAGGCAGGTGTTGTTTAGCTACACAGCCAGGAATTCGTAATAAGTGCGAGAATAAAGCAATTTATAGCTGCCATCAATTTTGGAAATGAATAAAATAGAAAAATTGTGGCAGCTAACGATTTTCTTGTATTAGAACGGGCGCAGTTAGCTAGTTGAAATGGGAGATGGGAGAGAACATGAGATCTTATATTTATAGCCTGAACACATCGGCTTACATTGCCGTTTATAAAAGTTGCTAATATAACAGTAAAAATGACGTTTAATTTATATACGAATTTTTCTTATGGATAACCAAGAAGCAATGTCAATATTGATGGGACAATATTCCTTGATTATATACATATTTTAGCTAGATAAACTAAAGCCATGTCAATATTGATGGGCAAATATGCTATGCTCTCATTCCCTTGCTCTGGGCTTAATTTTCGCAACAGAAGGTAAAAAGATATATAGGATATTCGATTCGACTTTATATAAACAGATCAGATGTGAAACTTACCTGGAAGCTGTGATTTACGTTCTTGATGCTGCACTCGAAATAACACAGTTCCGATAGATCAATCTCATCGAATACATCGCACTGCAAATAAGACAAAGGCAAAGATTTGTTAAAATGTATTTTGATTAAATTAATTATAATATACGAGCTTAAATTAATTAAATGACATTTAGTCGTAAATGAATTGGAATTATTAAGAGTATGAATATGTTACTAATATAATGAAATGTAAATAAAATCTTAAATATTCCTCAGGCCTTAACATTTGGCATGCGTTTTGTTGAGGCATGAAATCTGCTGTGGAAATGGATGCATAAATGTTGCTTGGCAACGTGCCCAAGTCGACTCTTTCTCCATTTTGCTTTCAAGATTGTTGTTATTTTTTCAGCTTCTGTTGTCTGTGCTGGTCTTTGGCTTTCTTTTGCTTTCTGGACCTTGCTTTGTTGCTTAATGAAATACACAAAAGAGAACCCAGCGGCAAATTGTTTGTTATTTTTCTCTTTCGTGCTGGCCTTGTTGTATAAATACATATAAATATATGTATGTATATGTATGTATATGAAGGATACGCATACTTGGCAGTCCTTACGGAAATTGAAATGTTTCACACATACACACACACAATCATACGCGCGCATTTACGTGACAACAAAAGCAACTCTTTTTTTTTTATGTGCCATATAATAGAGGAAGTGTGACAATGGAAAACTGAATCGAACAACTTATGTCAAGGATTACATACACAAAACAGTTCTTCCATTGGAAATTGGTTTTCTTCAAAAGTTTTCCACACCTTTTCAACAAGAACTTTGAAGCATGCAAACTTATGCCTTAGCACCCAATCTTCTTCTTCTTCTTTCCTTCAATTTATTCCATTTTGATTAATACTTGAGACTTGTTTGCTTTTTAACTTGTTGTCCAAATTATAGTTTTCCATTGTATTGTTCACTTTTATTTGCTTTCTCAACTTTTTGCGGCTGGTTGAATTGAATATTGCGCATACGCCATGCGTGCCTAGACCTCTTATGTGTGCATACTTTTGGTTATATACCTAGTCTCTTTATTATATCCATTGAAAATTTAATAAGAGGGTATAATAATTTTTAAAAACTATGCATGCAGAAGTCTATATATGTGCTTGAGAAGGGCAACCAGTTTATTTAGTTCTGTCCATCCGTCTGTCCATATGAACGACGTTCCTCGTAAGCTATCCAAGCTAGAGACTTGAAATTCGACATATTTATTCGTGTCCTTTGCTTGGTTCAGGGGAAGCCCCTAGTCGAGCAGTCTCGACTAGAGCACTCTTATTTGTTTTATTCAATTCTGCCCCATATTTGTCCTCTTTTGGTTTATACTTTTTGATAACAGCTCGCAGGCTTTACATAATTTATTTCTATTGGTATTTTTAATGGACAGTTCACGGAAATTTCACAAGAATTTGTGACTTTAAGGCTTTCAGTGTTTACATATTTCCATATCTTCAAGGGGCACCCTATTCTGAGCTGTGTGAATATTCCTCACTGCAGTTCGTCGTAGTGAGTGAGTAAGGTAAATTCGAAACACTTTTAGAGCATTCTTTTTCCCAAGTCGATTCTGCCGCTGAGTAGAACTCAAATTGCCTTTCTTATTTCCTTTGCTCACACGGCTTTAGTTAATCAGCTTTTTGTCGAGCTCCTACCCCATTTATTTTTTAATCAAACTGTCAACAACAGGAAATTGTGTAAACATATAATTACAAATTAAGTTTATGCTGCTGCTGATTATTAATCTGGCTGGACAGACTTTTAAAGCGAGTAAATAAATATGTGCACGAATTATTAATATACAATATAATTGCAAACAACTCCCACACTTGGGATCAGTATTGCTTTCTTTGTTTCAGCTATAAGCTGGGCATTAAGTGTGCTGCATCAATAAATGGCAATGTAAACGGATATCCTAATGAACATAATTGATTGAAAACTCAGCAATCGCTCAAACCGTGGATGTCTTGATTCCCCCGGGGCCAAAAAGCAGAAGCAGACGCAGAAGGAGCAGCGGCAGCGGCAGCGGCAACAGCAGAAGCAGCTTAATCCAACAGAGTGAGCTTTATAATAATTATACGAGTACGTATGTGCGTGCCTGTGTATATGTGTACGTGCGTGTGTGTGTGCGTGTGTGTAATGGACAGCAATTTGGAAAATTGCAGGAAAAAGTGCGAAGCAGCAAACTGTCAGTGTCAGTCAAGCAGTCAGCAAGGAGTTGGCTGAGTGAATCGTTAAACGCTTCTTCGCCTGATGACGGAAAAATCGTTAAAAATCAGCAAGGATTTCAAGAGCTTTTCACATGCACTGCGCCAAGTGGAGAGCGTTTTCTCCTCTTCCTCTGCCTCTTCCACTTGCTCTTGTCATTGACATCGAATTGCAGCTTGAATTTCTGGAAGCGTTTTGTGCTCAACAAACTTTTGATAGCCGTTCGCTCGAGTCGCTCGACTCGCGCTACTCGCTGCTCGCTGCTCATTGCTCGTTGCCTTGAGCTCAGACATTTTCCACTCGAACGATTTACATAAATCTTTGCCAGGCTCTATTGGAGTTCGGGGTCGCTGGCATCATTATGAGACCAACAGCAAATATGCCTCGTTGTGTTTGTTTGCCTTTGTTGTAGTTGTATGTGTGTGTGTGTGTGTGTGTGTGGCAACTGTGGCTCAAGCGTAAAATGCAAAAGAAATCAATAAATAAATACGCATAATTAAAAAGTAAACGAACTGTTTAAGCGTCCCAGATGCAGGCATGAAATGCCAATTCAAATAAAAGAAACCGCCTTTTTATACCCAGGAAATAGCGAGCGACGGCATATTAAAAATTGACGATATTCTAATATTTATTATTATACTACTTTTTTTTTTTTTAATTATATATTATATTACTGTAATTCTTTACATTTATCATTTATCTAATGGTTTTTTGAACGGGATATAAATATAATTTATTAATGTATTTTCGCAAATAAAGAGATTATGTTAATTGATTTGTAGCATGTTAACTGTAATCTATTGAGTCTAATAAATATAGACATAAATATATTCACGCATTACTTACATACCCTGTAGTCTGAGAAATATTATAAAGGGTATCCTAACTATGCTTCAGATTTTGTCAAGCATGTTTTCGAGGCTTGGACCCTGGCTTTATTTACTTATTATAATTTTTCGATTCTTAAAGAGCTTTACCTAAAAAAGAGCTTTACCTAAGAAAAAGGTCATTGTAAAACATTATTGAACAAGATTCTAGTGATGCGCGTTTTAATACTCCCCAGGGTATTAACTAGTTAAACCTTGCTCATTTCAGTTATTTTTTGTGCTGCGCTTCGATTGGCGGATCCCTTTTGACCTTTGGGAATGGAACATGAACTCGGTGTTAGAAATTTCTTCGAAATTGTTTGGGATTTTCTCGCAGGTCAATCACAAACACATTAAGCAAATTGGTACATTACTTTTTTCTTTTTCTTTTTTGGGCAAGGCAATAAGCCCTAGAGGTGAAAAACTTTGATTGCATTATGCCGAGATTTCCTCACACACAGACACACACACACACACACACACATACACACCTCAGACGGGGGCTAAACAGTGTGGCATAATCATTAATTTGCGCACTTTTCGACGTCCAGTTCGCCAGCCCAGATGTAGATTTATAAGAAGAAGAAGAATAATAAGCAAACGAAGAAGATGAAGCAACATTTTCCACTTATTTTCGTCCCTTTTTGCCGACTTCGACTTTGCCACAGCTTGCAGAAAACTTTTGCTCATTCATATCAATTTCTTTGCATTACTTTTCGGGCAGACTTTTTTCGTCTTAATTTTTTCTCTTCTTCGGCTTTTTTTTTTTTTTTTTTTTTTTTTTTTGCGAAATCATTTAATGGCGCACACATTTCAGCGGGAATTACGCGTGGAAAGGTGGCCAAGAAATAAGGAAAGGCTGGCCGAGTATAGGCAGCAGACAGAAAGTGCTGACCCGCCAGCTGCGCGGTGCGAGCAAACTAATTGAGCATAATATATTCAAAACGACGTACAATACGAGAAGTCGAGCTGCCTCTTAAGTACTTTCTCTTCAGCTTAAGCCAAGGCGCATTCAATTTAATTGCGGTGCCAAAATATTCACAAGTCAAATCGAGGGTCAGATGTCTCGATAATAATTCACTATAAATTCTTACCCTTCTATCTAAATACGAGTCGAAGTAAACACATTTGTTTACTGCTCCAACTTCGACTTGGCCGCCAAAGAGCACTCAAATAGAAAGTTTTTGCTCTAAAACTTTATAAAAAATTTAGTTTATAGTTTATAGTTTTATTTGAAAATTTATTTGAAATGTATGTCAAAGCTCGCATAAAGAATACGAGAAGAAAATAAATAAAAATAATGCAACATTTAAAAACATTCTCTGTAATGACCTTTGCCATTTTCTCATTTTCTTTTCTTTTGTTCGCTGGCAGCAGCAGAAACTTTGTCGAAAACTAGCAGCGCATCATGTTGCTTGAGCAGTGCCACAAAAGTTGCATGTTTGCGTCTTTAAGCCGCTTACCAAGGGGAACAATTTCAAATGCCAGCAAGTGGAGGCAGCACACCACAAGGATTCGTTGAGTTTTCGGGTTTAATTTGCAGCAGCAGCAGCAGCAGTCAGACAGCCACTGATTCCAGTTGAGAGAGGCGGCTCTCGTTGGGCGTGTCACATTTCATTTGGCGTGTCGAGAATCGCGTGGCTCCAAATTGTTGGCATTTTAATGGCATTGCATTCTAATGGCCAGCACTTAAATGCGGCCCTCAAGCAAGTTATTAATGTGCCATAATATTTATGTACATATATATATTGCTTGCCGCACCCTGTTCGCCACGAACACCCTGTGCTCACACCTGCCCAATTTAAATACGCATACAAAACTCCAGTGACTGTGCACCTTTTGAAACAATTTCAAATTATAAATTCTATATTAAGCACAATTTATCAAACCGAAGGGCGCCTAGAGAAGCATTTAATGCCAATTTGGGCCCTTTGAAAGGAGAAGCGTGAAACAAAGAGCACAATTGTGGTCACAAGTAATGAAG